TGCGCTACTTCAATAATAATTATTGAGAATGTCAAGTTAAAATTTCACAACGATAATATTTCTAGCATGTACAATGTACATCGATCCAATACATCCTTAAAAAACAATAACTTTTTGCCAATAAATTCATATACCTAAATAGCAAAATATAATTAGAAGCACCTCGAAGTTGTGCGTTACGAAGTATCACGATTGCCGAGCTCCTCGTAGAATAGATCGCAAAATGTTTGATAATACTTGATAAAAAATAAAAAATGATCCTATGAAGTGAGGTTTACCTAATATTTTACCTAATGAGAGGATACTTTGTAGGATTGTTTTTGTATATATTATCTAGCGACTCGGTTTCCCCAAATATCCACTGTTTTGTACATTTATCATCGCGTCGACGTCAAATCCAGGGGTTTCTAAAATGTCCCGCGTAGCGGATCATTTGTTCCGAGGAAATTATCGACGACGTGCCATTTGTTATCGCGTTCCGTTACGTAACATTTCGCGCAGACCGGACGGCAGCGGCGGTAAATCGCTCCAGACATCTACGCAGATCCATTGCGTTACGATAAACTTGGAAACAGCGACGATTGACGAAGTCTAAACTCGGCGGTGGCATCACCCTTCGAAGTGGCCATAGTCCAGAAATTACGGCGTTCATGTATCGGCGTTTTCGTCTGGCGAATGTCCACGTGTCTCAAACGTACGCGGCAAATTGCATCCACTTGTTCGAATTTTTCCGCTTCGTGGAAATATTCTATTCTACGAGGAGCTTGGAAATCGTGATTCTTCTTAACGCGCAACTTCGAATTGCTTTCACATTATATTTTGCTATTTAAACATATGAATTTATTGGCAGAAAATGAACTTTTTTAAAGATGTGTTGGATAAACGTACAATAAATGTGTTATCGTTGTGAAATTTTAACTTGACATTGTTAATAACGTGACGTGTTATTTTTAATTTTTTTACTTGCTCGTTTAAAAGTTAGGTATTCATTATTTAATATTGCTATTTTAACGTAGGATCTTACGCGAACTTGCAAAAAACAAATGATAAAACAATTTAAAACTATTAAAATCAGCGATGCTAAAAAATTAATTTTTTTTATTGTGCTCTTCAAACATGTAGAAATGTTTCTACAAGGTTTTAAACCGATTTGCTTGCTCGTTTTCCAATTATTATTAAAATATCGCTGAGTATTGACGCGACAACAACGATGGAATGTGACAGCACTGCATACCGACTTAATTTTTCAAGCTTTACATTTTCATCGAAATCAAATCCTATTCGCAATAAACAATACTTTAAACTGTGATATTTATTTCGTGAATTTCTTACAATTACGTGTCGATTATAATTCATGCTGTGTCCAATTTTAATTTCTTGATGTTCTGGATTAACTCTTGGAAAAGATGCTCCGTCCAATATATCCTTAATCTATTTCTATCTGTATCGATTGAACGATAATGTCCGCGAAAATATCGCAAGTCGCTCTTTAAGGTGAAAAGCGAAGTTCTAATCTCTTTGAGAGTATATTTTTCGTTCCATCGCTCTTTGCACGTGTTATGCTAATTGTAAGCGCGAGAATAAGCCTCGCAACTAATGTGCGACCCAAATCGGGCACGAGCCGTACAAATTTATGGATCGTTGAATTGGCCCTTTATGCATTTTAAACTGTTTATCCATTAAATCGCGAACGCTAGAGTCGAATATTTAAGATCTGGGATAGAGCACGCCTAACGTATGTATACTAAAAATAGAGCGCAACATCAGATGCCATGCAGCTGTCAGTAAGAAAACTTTCTCGCCGATTTGTCAAGTCTCACGAAATTCTACTAAAAGTTTTCTTTAAACGCCAAAGAAAGACACACTTATATTTATAATTTATATTTATAAACGCGCATCATTTCCTAAATTAAATTTACATATTAAAGAAATGTGCTCGTATTTAAAATGCACTTTTGCTTCATTAAACAATCGTTCACAGCACATTCATATTTGTAACAAATCTCGCGCATAAGATTTATGTCATCTGGAAGACACGAATAACATCATTTTTATTCGGTTTTCAATAGCCGTCGCTTCTTACGTTTGTTCACACCGCGAAATTTTCGTTCGTCGTTATTTTCTTCCTGTATCGCGCTTTTAAGGTATCTCTTTCATGATCTCGAAGTCTTAAGAATTAATTGATTTTTCTGTACAATAAAGTTAAAACACATATCATCTCACCACAAAAATATCGAGCCATGTCACCGAGCTTATAGAGAATAATTGCGACTTTGAAAATTGGATTATTGATACGTGACTCTTTATGTAAAAAGCCTACTTTCCACATTTTATTTTTCAATGTACTAATTTATATACTAGAAACCTTATAATATTGCATATTAACAACGCTATATAATTGCAAAACTCCGTAGTTTCCATAATGCTGATACTCTGGGAAAAGAAAAGACAGTTAGCAACCCATTTTGGGGCCCACAATTAGTAATTGAATTATTTGGATTGTTCGTAATTCTACTCTGGGAAGAATTTTGACCGTTTCTTTATTTAGTTAAGCAACTTAACATTTCGGTTAGTGCCTTTTAAGCGAAAATTATCTTTGCGTAACTGAATATCGACAGAACTAATTGAAAGAATTGATTAGTATTACTTAAAAATCTTGGATATAGATAGAATAGCTAATCGCGATTTTTAGTTACGCGGGGTAAAATTCGTAAAGGATTAGAGTTAACTGTCTTTTTTTCCCAGAGTAAAAACGTAGAGTCATCAAATGTTTATAAGTGCCTGTTTTAAAATACGATATAAAATACGGTGCATCCGCGATGCGCCGAGATGGCTCCCTCCGCGCGGATCGTAATTTAATTTAGGGTCACGCCGCGTCCTGTAAATAGGGCCGCGGTGTCAAGATCTGGTTACGAGCGGGGGTGTGGGAATACCCGGCCGAAAAGTGGGCAGCGGGCCAATAGCACTTAAATATCGGCGGAGGGGATGACGCCATATAGCGTCGCGACGCGCGGCGGCCGATTTAGTTTCCGCTCGACATCATCAAAGTTTCAAAGTCACGCGCAATCCGGTAAAGTCGTCGAGGAAACCACGCAGCAAACAGGATGCCGGTACGTTTCCCCCGGGGCGAGCGGGAGACGCTGGGCCCTTTTGCGCGCTTCGATGACAATTAGTCGCGGTCCGATTCTGGCACGGCGTTTCCAGTGAAAAGCCCCATGCGTTTTATAAATCCATAGTTTTTGTTCAAGTAAAACACATGATTCGACGAAACTTGAAAATCACGAAGCTTTCTTTATGTTTACGAAAAGAAACAATATAACAATTAACATTAGCAATTAACAGCTGGCATTATACAACGTTGCTTGCACAAACAATCGGCAATGCATATCCATTTGTATCAAATATTTTGTAGTGGATATGGATTCCCAGCATCCCTAGTAGCACAGTGCTTTGGCTAAATATTGGTTCACTGTTGGTTATATTAGAAATGCATTGGCCAATATTAGCTATGGAATAAATGTAAATATTGCACGATAACAATTATATAATATTAGATTTATATTGGAAGTGCATTGGCCAATATTTAACAATGTAATAAGAATATTGGCCTAATATTGATACAAAATTAATAAAATAGACATATTGGCTAAGAGAAGGCGTCCCTCTTACAATATTGGATCAATGTTGGGAATACTAGATTCACTGTTATTTCCCAATTATATTGCGCCAATGTATTGTGATACTAGAGATGCAACTTTTATTGTTCGGTTATAGCAGTCTGATACTGTCAATCATTCAAGACTTTGTAACGCATGACTCCCGCAGTATTTATAGCTGCGATTCAATCCATCACTCAGATACATAGTTCTACGTCAGTGTTTCTTCTTTGATGTATGTCTTTCTCCTCTACATCCGGTGTATTTATATCCCAACATAAATAACGTTATGCAACGCGGACTTTTCGGTGTTACCCCGAGGAGTTATGGAAGCAAAACACATTTAGAGAATCGACGGGCAGTTTAACGATGAGTTGCAGTAAATTTGGGCGTGGCCTCGGGAAACGTTCTGCTTATGAAAAGAAGCTTAGTAACTATCCCTGCCTCTCCCGCGTCTCAGCAAGAGAAATTGCAATGTCGTTTGGTCTTTTCAAATTCTTAATTCGCAATAAAGTTCTTTGTAACAAATTAACACTATTAATCATCCGTCAGTGGGTCAGTTATCGTCTGTTTCGTTCAAAACACAAAAAGTGCTGCGTTGCACGCGATTATAGCGATCTGAAGCAGCAATTTACCAAAATACTCATAGGCTCGAAAATTTACATTATTTATTTCTTCACCTTTTCGTTAAACGCATCATTTATTCGTTAATTTGACTACCGTCGTTTGTCATCTCCATGTCCAAATCAATCATTACGCTCTTACTCTTGTAATTTATTATGTAAGTGGCTGTGGATTTACGGGATCTCCGCGTGCGCGGAATTCCCGAATTTCGCTCCACTCTCGATTGTAATATCTAATTCACGCGCGGAGACGACGCGTGTCTCCGACACAGGTGCGCGACTCGATTTGTCGCCAGCCAAATTCGCTGGATACGCGAATCGCGCGTACCGCGGGCCCGTCCAATTTAATTTTAAATTTAGTGCGCGGCGTCGCGCGTCACGTTCGCGAAACGTCCTCGGAAACCGCGGCGAGGCCGCCCATCGTACGAACGGAAGCCGGCCTCCCCTTGAAAACGGATCTTAAAATATCATCCCGAGTGGATGTGCGACGAGAAACACGTTGCCGCGGCTGAATCTGACACTTCGCAGATAGGGGGCTGAGGAAATTTCACTTTTCGCCAGAACACCCTGGACGCCGACGCGCGTTATACACGGAGAGAATGTTTTCTTAAAATTCATCCCGAAAATCATGCAATCGTTGGAACAACATGGCATTTCGAAGAATTTCACGAGAACGTTTGTTGAAATTTTACCATACATTTTACTAGTAAAATGCCCGTGATTATATGACTTTCAGAATCAATTTTCAAGAACTTTATGAGAGTGTTCTTCAAAATTTATCCCGAAAATCATGCAATCAATTTTGAAGAACTTTATATGAGTTTGTTGAAATTTTACCATATTTACATTTTACTAGTAAAATGCCCACGATTACATGATTTTCAGGATCAATTTTGCAGAACACTCTCATAAATCGTAGGTTTCTTGAAATTTTACCATACACTTTGCTGGCAAAATGTACGGGAAAATATAAAAAAACTCTCATAAAGGTCTTGAAAACGCCATGTTGTCACACGCTTATATGATTCTCAGAGCGAATTTTAAAAAGAAATTCTGCCCGTACTTAATTCGTTGACGCGAGCCGTAAAAAAAAGGGAACGAAAAACATGTCGTCGACGCTTGTTTAACGTCTACACTGTCTACAGTCTCGAAATTCAAAGCGTCGTCACTGTTCGCAACGTTGTCGCGTTGCTATTATTCCGAACACAATACATCGCGTTGTTACACTGCAAACGGCTGTATTAAACGCGCGTCTGTCGCGTAATCGTGAGCGAATTGTGCAATACATCACGTAAATCACGTGTACAATTAGAACCAATTAAAGTCGCCTTTATTATATTCGGAGCGGCGCGTCTTGGCTGAATCCGCGTGCCATGTATATAAGGTACCTGTGCAGCTGTTAGGATCGCGATGTTATTACAGAATTGCACAATTCCATTGTACATTAGCGATATCCAAACAACGCCGTCGCCTCCCAAAATATCGCACGGTCGAGCGAATCGCTGAGCGGCGAAACAATTGCGACTATTTACCGCCCGCGACTTCGAAATCCGCGGCTTTTCAGGGTTGCCGCCTAATTTTGCTATAAATACTGATTTATAGCTTCGACCGAGGGATGCCAGATCCCGTTTGCGTCAGGCAGCTGCACGGATCATAAATCGTCTCGTGCGAACGTTAAGAAATTCCGAAAGCGCGAAAGCCATTAAAATGCTCGTTGTCCCCGCTTCTCAACGAAACATTTGCCGTGAAATCGTTGTGAAATTTATGCATCCGATCAAAGCGCGACTAATTGCGGGCTTTCGTAAATAGCTACACGGAGAGAATTTTCTTTCAAAATTTATCCTGAAAATCATGTAATCGTGGAACAATATGTCATTTTGAAGAACTTTATGAGAGTTTCTTGAAATTTTACCATATATTTTACTAGTAAAATGCTCTCAATTTTGAAGAACTTTATGAGAATGTTTTTCAAAATTTATCCTGAAAATCATGTAATCGCGGGCATTTTACTCTCATAAAGTTCTTCAAAATTTTACTATTAAAATGTATATTAAGTATAATTACTAGTAAAAAGTATGGTAAAATTTCAAAAACTCTCATACAATTTCTCAAAACGTCGTGTTGTCTCACGATTACGTGGTTTTCAGGATAAATTTTAAGAGAAAATTCTCTCCGCGTATATGTCAGCAGCATCTCGTCTAAAAGTTCTAACGCACGTATAATACCGTACAGCAGGAAATAATACAAGAATATAATATATCTCTTTTTAACGTGGAATCTCTCTTGCGTGTCGAGCCATTCAGACAGTCCGTTATGTACACGAATCCAGATTCATTACAAACTTAGGTTTGTACGGGGACCCACGAGACAGATGTTCGATAGTTTAACACCGCTTTGCCAGCTTTCGTAAAAGCCAAGACATCACTCGCCGTATTTTATTTTCAATGTTGGACTTTACGCGAGTAATCCTACACCGCCACTCACCGCGATCTATTTCTGATACAGCCATTTTTAAGACATCCAGAAAACGCTCACGACGTTTCACATGCAAGGCGGTCCGCGTGGGAATGCGCTCTATAGTAAACTGCAATGCGATAAAAGACGATGTTAAAAATAATCGCGTTGACGTCTGCGTGAGAGACAGAGAAAGAGAGAGACAAAGCTAATTTATACCCATTGACGCTATCTTTTGTTTTTAGGGTCGTAATAAGGAACAGGAAGCCGAGATCCTCGCCTGGATCGAGGCTGTGACAGGCGAGAAGCTCCCGCCAGGAAACTACGAGGATGTTTTGCGGGACGGCGTAATCCTTTGCAATTTAATTAACAAACTTGCGCCCGGATCAGTCAAGAAGATTCAAGCTAAGGGCACCAATTTCCAACTTATGGAGAACATCCAGAGGTGAGCGAGAGCGAACTATTTTCCTGTATCTCATTTTGCACAATGACTTTTATATCGCTATTGCCGATAGATTCCAAGCGGCGATCAAAAACTACGGTGTCCCGCAAGAAGAAATTTTCCAGACTGCGGATCTTTTCGAAAGACGTAACATCCCTCAAGTCACCCTCTGTCTGTACGCCCTGGGTCGACTCGTAAGTAGTTTGTGATAATACTTGGACTGATCACAATTATTGACAAAATCGTAATCATATTGGAGATTACTGGATATCTGTTATTTCCAATGCACACATAAAATAGACACAAAGAACTCTTTTAACGAAACAGATTTTTATATCCAAATTTTAAGAAAATCTTAGTTTTTTCAATTTACAATATTTTTCTCGCATCTAAAATATGGAAAATAATAGAGACTTTTGTATGCAAAGAAAACACTGAAACCCTCCGTTATTTGACTGATAAGTAAAGTCAGTACGTATTGTCATAGTTCATTTACAGTTCTGATAAATATTTGTGAAATTTAACTGGGGCAATTGTTTCTGTAACAGACGCAGAAGCATGACTGGACCGGGCCGAGTTTAGGGCCGAAGATGGCGGACGAGAACAAGAGAACCTTCAGCGAAGATCAGCTTCGTGCTAGCGAGGGTCACCTGGGCCTTCAGATGGGATACAATAAGGGCGCCAGCCAGTCTGGTCACGGCGGTTTCGGAAATACTCGACATATGTAAATTGCTTTTTATAGAAAAGAATTAACACACGCCTGTATCATATACGTCTACAACGACTGGTTAGACTATCGAACACGAAGTATGATACAATAAAAACGTTGAAGCAAGTCGCATTTTTTAACCGCGCGTATATTAAATGTGTGCGTGAGAGAGAATAAAAAAAATTACGCTTTCGAAGTGCCTCTCAAATTCATAAGTTTCAAAATGTCACGAGAAACATCTACTCATTTCCATTGTCGATCACTATTGTCATAAGCGAGTCAAATCATTTATACTGTGCTTCTCTAAGAGTAATCTCTCCTTCCACTTTGTCATACATACACATATTTACAGTATTTATTATTAACTTCAGTTACTATCCTTCTCTTAGTCGACGATTAACAATTAATTCGTTAATATTATTTTACTCTCTTCTTTATACCCAAATATCAATAATGTAGCGATATTAACCCTCGCAGTGAGAAATAATTCGTCGAAACGACGCCGATCGTGGTTTCGACATCGTTTCGACATCGATCGACGAGTCACTTCTCGCTCAGTCACGGAAGAATATATTTTTTATATGAATTCATAACAACCGTTAGTTTGCATGTAAATGTAAGTACTCTGTCTGTCATTTCTGGTGTCGTAAAGGCGCGCTTTATGTTTCGCGAAAAATCCTACTTTCCTTTACACACCCCAGTGATAAGTGATTCGACATCAATTTGACGGTGTCGATGCGACATCGTTTCGACATCGATCGAACCATTTCTCGCTGGGACATACACACGGTTTATCATCACTCACACAACTTTTATACACGATTACACGCGGCTTTTATGTTAAAACTACACCGTACAAAGACACAAGTAATTATACGCACAATACACACGTATTCGTTATCGATTTCAATATAAAATATATTATAAAAATGCGAAACAAAATGTAGATACTAAAAACGCAGACTACAAGTTCAAACATATAATATCACGTGTTTACATACGCGCAATTAAACGTACACGTATACGCAAACTCCACGATACGTACATTTACACGACATGTACACGCGATGCAACATTATGTATACTAATAGGCGAAAAATCCAACCACAATTTGTAAATTTAGAATATTTAGAAATAGTTGTTAAGTTTTACAATACGATGACCAGCTTTACCTCCAAGATATTTTGTATTAAACGATGTCAAATTAAGTTATAAGTCTGCATCTACGTTATAAATTAAACTTTGTAAGCTACACTTTACCTTTCTTTGATAAACCGACACGTTAAATTAGCAAGATCACAAATTTGTATCATTATTCGAATTATATACGTATATATGCAATATATGTATTAATGAATGAATAATATATCTTTCATATAGTATCTCTTTGAGAAAATTATGTGGTGTTTTTGTAACTTTTATCCCATCGTTCCCGTTATCTTATCATTTTGTCCTATCAGTCTCGTTAATTCATGCAATCCATCGTGGAAATGAAATTTATCGCTGTTCCAAGATGCATGTGCGTTGTGAAAACGCGCAGGCTATGAATAAGTTTTCGAAATTTATGCTAATGGTACGAGCGATTAAGAGAAACAAATGTAACGAGGAAACTGTCTTAGAAATACCGACATTGCAATTTGGGACTACGCCAATCTGACGCAGTGCTCATGGCAATCCTTTCGCTCATATACGCTAGTAATTTCACGATAATAAAGTTAATCGCGAAACGTAATCTCGAATGAATACGTCACTGAGGAGGTTTGCAAATATCGACGCAATGGTCGACAAAATAAAATAAAAAGTACCAACTGCGATATGATAACTTTGCAATTTTTTAAAATAAAAGTCGACGTATGTCTCGTGTGTCTTAAATATGTTCTTTTTATTGTACGGCAGAAGCATCGATTACGAAAGGGAAATGAAAGTTGTAGAGCGATATATCGAACGCGCGGGAGGGATTTTCTGGCGCTTCGCCGCGCTCTATCTCCCATTCGTGCTTATCTTTGCACCCACGCGGGTACAAAAATACCCGCCACTGTTTGTAAATAAATCGGGAACTCACGACCACGTCATCCGCGACACGCTTTTCTCGGATTTTTCGCGGCGGCTAATGAGCGCGCGCGCGCGTCAGCGCGCGCGTTTCTGGCGCGGCAAAATTTAATTCCTATAACTTTTGCTTTTCTTGGCAAATCCGTGTGTTTCCTTTCGGTCTATTTCTGGATCGCCGTGGCCAACACGGCGACCGCTGCTGGACCCGGGTCACGGAATATCGCGTAACTTTATTCCGAAACGCACGTCGTTTCGGAAACCGCGAGAAAAGAATCCCTTACGCGTCTCTCCAATTATTAATGTACAATATATCGTTTCGAAAGGGCTTTTTGTCGATGTTACTGTACATGTAATTATTCTTCTTGGGCTTTTAACGTAGAGGAAAGTACTCTATTATGAGATAGCAGGTTTTCAACGTCCAAATTCAATCGCAAATCTATTTTTGCAACGATTACACTATCCAGCAATCAATTTTCCACTAAACAGATTTCACTTCGAAGGCAATAAATTCATGGTGGAACCAATCACCGAAAAAATTGTATTCTAGATTTTAGAACAATACCCTCTAAAGTTTTCTTCTAATTAAATCTTTTAAAAAGTTCAGAATATTCTCCTCTTGTTAAGAATAGTATCTGAAATGAAGAAAATATTCTAAAGTACTGTATCGGCCATTGTTTAACAAATGACACTCGCGCGCTGACGCAAGCCTATAACGGCTGTGACGTGTAATGCGTTCACGCGCTGCAGTGCATCAAGTATTCGTGTGTAGCTATACAAGAATGGAAATGAAAGAGTGGCTGCTTCAGCATAATCTTCCCGAATTGATTAGCCGTTTCGAGAGTAAGTACAAATTAGAATTCTTATGAGTAGGTATGTATCATATAAGTATGTATTGTAACCTCGAAACAGTGCCCAGTGAGAAATGATTCGTCGATCGACATCGAAATGATGTCAATTCGACGGTGTCGATGTCGATTCGACGTCGTTTCGACATCATTTCGATGTCGATCGACGAATCATTTCTCACTGGGCACTGTTTCGAGGTTACAATACATACTTATATGATACATACCTACTCATAAGAATATATTATTAGAATATATTCTATTACTATGCTAGTTAGCTCCATTAGAGGTATATTCTAATTCCTTAGAATATTTCATTTTATTAGAGGGAAATCCTCTTACTTTTAAATTATTATACTTGGCGCTTATTTTAGTGGGAAATACTCTGTAGTATATCAGAATATTCTATAATGTAGGATATGATTTTTTCGGTGAACATATGATGCCAATTAATTTATCAGAGACTCCGCTGTCTCATAATACGGGACTTTCCGCTATTATTAATTGATGCGCGATTCGCAGTGTTGCATAAAGATTTGTTTACTCTGAAATTTGATATTAGAAAACGCTATTGCGCTCAGTTTCCACGTTCGACGCTACATTCGAAAGTTATTTGCTCGCTTAAAGGAAGCGCGAACGACGATAAATTTCGGTTGATGATTCATGACGTTAAAAGCGCGTCCTGAATTAGGAGCGCCTTGATACGCGGATCGGCGAAAGTCTCGCGGATTGACGTACCGTGAGTCAGAGTTTCGAAATAGAAAAGTCATCGCCGCTTCGAATTTTCAGAGGCTGTTAAAAATATGTGAGAGCAATATATCGAGGAATCTCGTTCGCGCGACGTGCGACTTTGCGAAGTTTCTGTCGCAACATAGAATTGATTGTATCAATTAATTTCGTCGTACGTCTTCTCGATTTGTTACGCGGTTCCACGCTACGGGAGCTAAAGAATAAATCTCTTTCAAAAATGTTCTCAATATTTCTTCGTGAGTTTGTCATAACTTCAATCTCATCTGCATTTGTGCTATTATACAGAAACACTGTATTGTCATTTTCGTTATCGTGCTTGAAATGCGAGATCTAAAGTGCAATATAGTACAAAAGCGTCGTGTAAACATTGTGATATAATAATTCAAATCAATTAATTTCACGTGAATCCTCATAATTTCATGTAAATTATCGTAAATAGAGATACAGATTCGATACGCGTCGTAGTAGTTTTATAACACACATTTTAAATGCAGAGCATTGTTTAACAATCCGTAAGCTTCCCGAATTTAAGAAGCGCGCGCAGCTGTGTCGCGGAATGTAATAAATTATTACTGATAATTGCCGAGCGATATTCCGATTTTTCACGGTATAATTTACGGGCTAAAACGCACGTGCTTCCAATGCACGAAACAACAACTGCAAGTCGCGGTCGAAAGTGCGGTCGCGATTAAAGGAAAAGGGAGACGCGACGCGATATCGCGACGCTCCGTTTATCGCGCTCCAATTTCGGGAAATGACGCTTACCTGCCAGAGTGGGCGTCCGGGCATGGCGGATTACGTCCACGTAATTCCCTCTCTCTCTCTCTCTCTTTCTCGACGAGCCTCCTCACCGGAGAATTATTTTCCGCACACCGGCCGCGCAGACAGCCTCTTCGCCGCTTAAGCTCAAGCTCAAGCTCAAGCACAAAAAGTGTGCTCCATCGCGGCCGCGGCCGCGTATATATGCGTGACAGGTGCGCGTACGTGTTGGTGGAGAACGTGGGGGCGCCGCTATATATGGATCACTTACTCACCACTTACTCCAGATCCAAGCGCGATCCATCGGGGGTGTCTAGGAGGAGGGGGAGGGGGAGGGGACCGGTCGATGACGATTGAAGCTACGGCGACGCTCTCGTTTCCCCCGGACGCCTCGGTGGGATTCGAACTCTTCGTTTACGCGCCCGGAGCTCTTAGTGGGTTAAGGCGGTCAATTCTGTGTCTTGCGACATAGTGAAAATGCTAAAAGTGAGTAGCCTTGTCTCTTTCCAACTGTCCCCTTAATAAAGCCGCTCACTTTTAGCATTTTCACTATGTTGCAAGATACAGAATTGACCCCCAGATTTCGAACCGACGAGAGATTCCCGATCTCGCCACCGGGTTGGCATCCTCCCGCATTTGCGAAACACTCTCTCGCGTGTACTTGGTCAGCGAGCCACTGTTTTACTTCTTATTCATTCTTCCGTTCCTACCCGCTTCCCGTCCCTCGTCATGTCGCGACTCAAGTGTTCGACGGAACGTTTCATCCGCGAAGGTCACCCGATGACATTCCGAGTAAAACATTAATAAGGCTGTGAAAAGGTCCTGATCAAGTTTCTTTAATATTAATCGGGTCCTAAATACGTATAAATGATCAGGCCCCTGAAAACAATTGTTACAAATAGTTTATAAGAGAATCTTGTAAGGAAATATTACCAGAACCTCATAAGAAAATATAATCGGGGGGGGGGGGGGCCCTTTCAAAATATTAATCCCCATCCTTAATTAAGGCTTATCTAGCAGAAATTTAAAGAAATTTAATTTTTTTAAATAACATTAAAATTGCGTTTTATACAGTTATCAAAAGTATATTCAGATCATCGAGTTTACCCATGATCCAGACAACTCGTTATTGGATCAGAATCGGTTCGCCTTTTATACTAATGCGGCATACTTTTTACTTGCGAGAAAGCCTAACGCGCGGTCGCCACGTTGCGGCAGCGACTATTCAAGAAAGCTCCTATACAATGGGAATCCGTATTCGTTACGTAACCGTAAACGTAAAAGTTCAATTATTGGAACTTTTACGGTTACGTTGAGGAAGGAGTTTGACAAAATGGTATTGGGTTAGATCGAGAGTATTCTGGGTGTTTCGTTTTTCTACAAGTTTGGCAAATAAAATAAAATAATGCTCAACGAATCGGACCGAATTTTCATCGAGTTGGTTGAGAAACATTCTAATATATATGCTACAGATACATAAAAGTTCCATGCAACAGTTTGCATACTGCAACCATGAGCAAGATAACTATAAAATAAAATATTAATTTAAAATTAATGATTTAATAAATATTATAAGATAAACTTACTACAAGGTAATACATAAACGATGTTCGGCGGACAGAGGCTCACGAATACTTTTCTTCGTCAGAGGCTCTTTAACTAAATTTAACAGTTTCTCGAACTGTGAGATAGTCATTCGGGTATATTTAAAAAATTCCTCGTGGTCATTATTTTTCAGGAATTGAAAAAAGAGTATGAAAATGACCTTTCTCTTTACGCTGTAACAGCATTAGCTGCACCCAATATTTTCTTTTTCGAATCATTGTTCTTTTTTCCCTAACTAATTGTAGCATTATTGCAGCCAAATTAACAGTCACAAGTGCTATATTTTTAACTCGCTGAACATCCATTGCACACAATTGCGTTTTCGATTTAGATTCTGTCAAAACACAAAATACTTCTTTAATTCTTTACAGGTTAGAAACAACTCCTTACTGATTGTTTCGTTAAAGTTACGTTACGGTTATGGGCTGCCATTGTAAATTATACAGGTCGATTTCTTACGGTAACAGTTACGTAAGAATTACGGATTCTCATTGTGTAGGAGCCTTAACGTTTATCAAGCCCTATTATGAGGGAATTCGTGAAACTACCCTTACGGAAAAAACACTCAAGTTTTGAGTGTTAGTACTCGATTGTCCGAATTTACACTCAAATTTGAGTGTAAATACTTAAATCTGGGTGTTTACGCCCGAGAGTGTAAATTCGGACAATCGAGTGTTAACACTCAAAACTTGAGTGTTTTTCCGTAAGGGTAGGGCATTCTTAATAATTCCAATATGGCCCCGATGTGGTAATAGTAGAGCATTCCCGAATTCATGAAACAAGGCATCCTTAACAATATTTAATAAGGCCCCGACGTGACAATAGTAGAGTATCCTATTTTAAGGAATCCTGTTATCATCCTTGTCGGGGCCTTCAACTGCCTGAATTAGCCCTAACAATGCTTTATTCAGGATGTCCTAAGCTGCGTTCGGAAACGTCACACGAGTGAGCCAGTGTATCACTTTATCCTTGTTCACCATTCAGTGAGAAACAAAGATAAAATAATGCACTAGGGCACTCAAATGATGTTTCCGAACGCAGCCCTACTGTTCCCGCAACGACGCACCGCGTGCTTTGTTCCTCGGGAACATCGCTTGTCAAACATTTTAGTCCGACGATCCCCAAGATGACAAGAAAATAAAATTAATACTCCGCGACTCTTTTGTAAAAACCTAATAGTAATAATAAAGACCCACACGGGCGAAAATAATTCGCTTTTGTACATCTCTGATGTGGATCCATGTATGAATAAATTGTTTTAACTGAAAAATGAGCGTATCCATCGCATTAATTAGCTTCTTTCTTTATTCAAAAAATTACCTTTGGATCGTTGTTTTTCAAGAAATGTGTTAATTTTTCTCTGAAAATGTGTTTTACTTTTTTTGTGTATACGTTAAGCTGCTTTTATCTCGCGAGCCTCCTGATGTGTCGGTTTGAAAAAAAACTGCTCTAGAAATACAGAATTCTCGTTCCCTATCTCTCCCGCCGCTTACCGTCGCTTCGTTCTGCGATCGCGTCAAACGGGATCAAGGACGAGGCATGTGTCAGTTCCCCACCCCCTCGCTTCCCACGTTTCGCTCGAGAACAGCCGAAAAACAGACCGGTCTGCCGTCGAAGGTAGCGTGGCCGAGCGGTCTAAGGCGCTGGTTTAAGGCACCAGTCTCTTCGGAGGCGTGGGTTCGAATCCCACCGCTGCCATTTTTTTTTTCCCACCCACGTTCGCGCGCACGGACGTCGCGCCGCGCGCCGTGGCCGCGGGCCGCAGCCTCGCGCGCGGCGACCGCGCGGCGTGCGATTAACGAGACGCAATGGTAGCGTCTCCTTCGAAGGTCCAATGGGTTGCGTCGGCACGCGGCGCCGTGGTTCACACCTATCAGGCGCGCATACGCGCCAAGTAGGTCGACGTTCCCGGTCGCCTTCGCGCGCGCGACATCTGCGGCTGGCACGGGCCACCTTGACGAGCTCGCCGAGTCGAGCGGGCAGAGAGCTGTCCGCCGCCGGCAAATATTGAAAAGTCAAGTGGACGTGGTATAAACAATAAATTTGCTCGTCTTCCCTCGTCGGGGAGACAAGCAAATCTATGGCGAATTTTTCCCACGAACATCTTCATACGAAATACAAATGATTGCAAACAAGAGTTATTGAAAAATACGTTTATTTTCGGTCAAGTGTGAGCGAATGACTTATAGCGAATTTGGTTGCTTGCACTAGTGCGCACCGAGTGCGCACTAAGACTTGTTTACAGTCAATTCTTGTATTTAAGGATTATCTTAAATAGCTCTTGAAATATTTAGCCAGTAAAATATATGATCTGTATAGCATTCATACGGATCATTTTTGGCTAAATACTCTGAACATGTATTTAAGCAAAGTTATATGTAAAAATTGACTATAAACAGGCCTTAGTGTACACTCAGTGCGCACTAGTGCAAGCTGCAATCGAATTCGCTATTAAAAACGTCGTAAAGATGTCTGCTAGATATGTCACGCGTCGCGTCACGTGCTAGAATCTAATGGGCGTAGCTTCTCTCTAAAAACTATAAGCTATTCCATAAATGTGTAGAGGCCTGTGTCCACGATGCTAGAACTTGGTCCAAGTTTTAGTTTCGAGAAATGTATAGCCAATCAACTTGCGGCTATTCCATAAAAGTACTTTGCGGGAATAGAACAATTAAACAAAGTTTTTATATGGATCGTTTGTATTTTGTATGAAGAATTATGAAGTGTGATTAAAAAGGTTTGCGAGTTATAATTAAATATTTATTAATTTGGATGTTTTAGCCGAAATTTAGTTACACCTGTTGAAAAAAGAGGTAAAATTTCATCGGTGGTTTTCCTTCCTGTAATATTGAATAATTTACGATATTATACGAAAGTAATATTATTTGTTTGTAATTTATCACGGGCGAAGAAATCATCAGTTATGTACATACAGATACAGTATATCTTAAAAACAGACCTACTTAATTGTATAAGAGGCTCTCCACCACCCCCGCTGAATTCTTATCGGCGGTCCTCTTTGTTTGCAATAATTGTGTTTTTACATTTTTATAACTTCATTTTTTCACAATTTATTTTGTAGTATTACTGTAGTATACTAATATATACAAAAATAAAAAAAAGAGAAAAGGTTTTATAGTGAAACTAAAAATATATACAATAGAAATATGTCCACTATTCCATTATGACATAAAATTACATATGAATATGTGATATGCGCATACAGTAATACATACACACAACTCATAGGGCCATCGCACACAAAATTGCATAGTTGCATATGCATAGCACAAGACCATCTGAACCAATGAGCACGTTATATAAATCAATGTGGCGACTCAATGCTTGATGTTCAATGGTTTGAACGGCTTTCATGCTATGCACATGCAGCTATGCAATTTTGTGTGCGATGGCCTTTACAATGTAAAACATTAATAGAAGATGTCACACAGTAGACACAGTGTTACACATGTGACTATGCATATTGTATCACATTTTTTATTAATGTGCAAACGAAAAATCAAATTGTAAAGGTAAATTTATCGAACAATTAATTGCAAATGAAAATCTATCGATTAAAAGACTATGCAAATCAAATTGAACTAAAATTTTATTCGATATAAACAAATCGCCCGATATAGAGGCCCTCCACCACCCCCGCCGCGTTTAATCGACGGTCCTCTTTTCTTTACAATTTGGTTTCTTACATTTTTATTATTTATTTCATTTTTCTTCTAATATACTTTACAATGCATACAATATTATAAAAAAAATAATAACATTATAAAATAAAAAATATAATATATGTACAATACCAACAATATTTCTCTCGACGTTACACATGAAATATTCGATGTGCGTACAATAAGACGAAAATCTTTTTATGAACTTATTATATTAAAGTTATTGCTACTTCATTCATTTATAATACCTATTCTTTTAATCTATCGAATTATGCCCCCCTGTTCCTACCTAACCGAATATCTATACCTACCCGTATTCCGATCTGTAGATCTACCTATCCATTTTCTACCTACCCGTGTTTCAACATAATGAACCTACAAATCTTTAATTAATCGCAACGCGATTTTTTAGAGATATGACTTGAAATTTAACGCGCCCGTGGCATTTAATAGGGATTTTACTCTCGTACATATGCGAGAATGTATGTATATAGAAGCATAACTCACCCGAATTGTAATAAATGAAAAGAAATTATGCTCCATCAGAATGGCCAATATTGACCACTTAACCTCGTCGTATTTAGTGTTCCTTCGTTGGGCCAGATTGGACCTACCTTTCGTTGCTCCCAGCCATACAATCTGGTCATTTTGACCAGAGATCAAGAAGGAAGAAAACTCCTTCCATAGTCGGTTATCGTCACCGACAAATATTTCGTACGGTTCGAATATACGAGTGTCGAAAAAACGTATCGAAAAATGCACGACTACGACAAGTTAATTAAAGAATAATATTAATTCAAAAACTTTACTGTATATCCGAATCAAATTTATTTTACTTCCGTTATTTATTCAAAGATATTGACCGTTTCTTAATTCGTAGCTTGAACTTAGAATTCAAAATTTAAGTAGCTATATGTATAGAAAAAAATTTATTTCGCGCTAGTGATTTTAATCATATTCCACGATAAAGTAAAATTTATAATATGGATAAAATTTAATAATTAATAATTTCTTGACAATTTTTCTTGAAAAACTGATCGCGAAAACCGACCGCGAAAATACAAATGCGTGTGACTATGCATGTACATTCATGCGAGACGCATCTTGAAAGTACGTATATCACGTGTATGTACATACATACATACACAGAATAAATGACGTGAGATCCAGAGAAACAAAACTTCTTTCACGATTTCAACCAATATTATAATTGCATATTATAATAAACTAATAATCATAAATAATATATAAAAATAAGTTAAAATTTCAGTGTTCTCGATAAAATATATTAGAATCTCACGTCATATTATTTTAATTTATACGGGGTGTCATTGAATATTGGGGACTTTTTTTGGTGTGCAGGTAGAGCGGACTAGACCGAGTCGAAAAGTACCATTTTGCAATTTTCGCAATAGATAACGAGTAATTAATTATTCAAAATTGTCGTCCATGCTCTATCGTCCTCGACCCAACCATCTGTCCGGATATCGCGCGTTTAAAAATCCGCGTACTTGCCGGGAGAAATGCGCAGGAGCCCCGTCGCGCTCGAATTGGGAGGTGGGCCGGGCTAAGACGACAATTTTGAATAATTAATTACTCGTTATCTATTGCGAAAATTGCAATATGGTACAGGACTTTTCGACTCGGTCTAGTTCACTCTACCTGCACACCAAAAAAGTCCCCAATATTCAATGACACCCTGTATATCAATTCGTTAATAAAAATGGATAGGTTACAAAAGATTAACTTAACGAATACATCAATAATATTCGCCATATTTCGCTTAAGTTTTGTAATGGAATTCAACAATTCTGAATATGGAAAATCAGCAGAAAATCGACATAGCATTTGAAATCTATCCATTTTAAGGCAACGAATATATATCTCGTAATATATCTTGTAGATATTACGAGATGTATATTCGTTGTCTTAAGGGGATGCTGGAGTCGTTCTGTTTTACCGACATTTTTTTATATAAGGATATCTTTTAATTGGCTTTACAGAATTGCAAATTCTTGTACACGATTAAAGTTCGCACAAAAATAAAAGTCAGCCTACTCGACTTTATATAAAAAACGAAAAAAAACTAAATATTCCATTAATTTTTGGCATGTAGAGCTGTCACATGACGATAATATTTGCTTAATACAAAAGTTCTATAGTTTATATCTGCAAAATGAGACCGGAGTGACCTAGAGACAACATGCAAGAACAATATTGTGTAATTGGAACTAAGATTAAAAGTCTAGAAAAAAAGATAGGTTTAAATAAAAGTTAATAAATGCAAATATAGCTGTAGAATGATAAGTAGAGCAGTATTGCGTGTAGTAATAGATGCCGGATCGAATAGATGCCAATACACAAAATCCGGCATCTATTACTACACACAATACTGCTCTACTTATCATTCTACAGCTGTATTTGCATTTATTAACTTTTATTTAAACCTATCTTTTTTCCTAGACTTTTAATCTTAGTTCCAATTACACAATATTGTTACGCCCGCTAATATTGGACGCCCAGTATCTGGCGATTTGGCGAATTCCCTCTATGATGTTCAAGTTGCCTGGTTACGGTGGTGTTTTGTTGTCAACACGTTTGTAAAAGAGAGAGAGAGAGTTTGGCCCCTGCCTGGAGCAGACGTTCGAGGGCCGTTCTTTCTGTGTAATAAAGATCTCCTTTTTTCTTCCCTCACACGGCTCTATTTCAATTACGCGAGCGCGCACGCGAGTACGCGAGTGCGAGTGCGCGAGGTCTTGTGCGGACGGCGGAGCCGGACGTAACAATATTGTTCTTGCATGTTGTCTCTAGGTCACTCCGGTCTCATTTTGCAGATATAAACTATAGAACTTTTGTATTAAGCAAATATTATCGTCATGTAACAGCTCTACATGCCAAAAATTAATGGAATATTTAGTTTTTTTCGTTTTTTATATAAAGTCGAGTAGGCTGACTTTTATTTTTGTGCGAACTTTAATCGTGTACAAGAATTTGCAATTCTGTAAAGCCAATTAAAAGATATCCTTATATAAAAAATGTCGGTAAAACAGAACGACTCCAGCATCCCCTTAATAAAAAAAAGTTTTTGACTTACCGATCCGCGATGCGCAGCAGCGGAGTTTAACTACGTTGATTCTGTAACAAAAAATTATAAAATTCACATTAAAATCAATTCAAGAAAATTAATATTAAAGAAAATAATTTTTTAATTATGTTAAGGGGTTACTACCTTGGAAATGTTTTTTTCATATATTTTTTTATTGGCTTAAATGATGCATAAATTGTTCAAGAATGATATTCAAAAACTATTTTGGGGATAAAGCTTCGATAAACATTTTTTATATTTTTTTTCCGAGACACCTTTGAGCTCCCCGAAACGTTTAAAAAAACCGTTTTGCTGCGCGCAGCATTTTAAGTGTATTACAGCTCTGTTGGTAGTTCTTGCCGGTATAAATCAGTTATATTTCTTCAAAAAATATATAGATGGCATTAATACATCTTAGAGAAGCCATATGACGCCATAATAACCGTTAGACTAACGATAAACACGCAGCAAGCAGTACCACGTGCTACTCCGAGTTACGCGCTCATCTGCTTTAATTTAGTGCTTTTCTAGTAGCTTTTTATATTAAAATGAGTGGGAAAGTGTAGATGGGAAAAAAGGAAACAGATCATCAACTCGTGCCAGTCGGAGCAGAATTTCCAACAGAAAGCCGCTCAATCGCTACAGACTCGAGGGTGACACCGAGGATGTTTCAAGGCTCGCGAAAAAAATGAAAGCGTCAACATCTGAAAATGATATTGAAGTCGATGCTGCGTTTGGCTACCGGATTGTGAATCTCATTACAATGTTAACCATGTTGTCACAAATTCTAGTGTGCAAAAACTGCGGAGGTAGTGTTGCTTTTTCGGAGTCGTCGAAACGCGGCCTTGGATTCAAGCTCGTTGTAACTTGTGAAAAGTGCGGAAGTACTACTATTGACAGTAGTCCTCTAATTAACAACCATGGTTATGATATAAATAGACGACTCATTTTTGCTATGAGACTACTTGGTATTGGGATTCAAGGAATAAACAAATTCTGCGCGTTCATGTGTCTCCCTAAACCAGTGTTTCAAAAAACATACGATCATATTGTACAAAGTATAGCAGTAGCTACGGACGCTGTGAAATGTAAATCATTACGAAAAGCTGCCGAGGAGGAAAAGAAGATTTGTGTAGAAAAAGGACAACTTTCGGGACTGACAGTGTCGGGGGACAGCTGCTGGAGAAAGCGTGGCTTCTCTTCTCTTTTTGGATTTGCAAGTTTAATTGGATGGTTTTCTGGGAAAGTAATTGATATTTGCGTTAAATCAAAATACTGCTTGGAGTGTGAGTATTGGGAAGAAAAGGAAGACACCGCTGAATACGAAGAATGGCACGCTTTACACGAAAAACGCTGTCATGCAAATTACAGCGGAAGTGCAGGAAAAATGGAGCCCGACGCTGTCGTTGAAATGTTCTCGCGTTCTGAGGCTACGCACAATGTTCGATACGCTTACTACATCGGAGATGGCGACAGCAAGACACATAAGAGTATCCAAGATGCCAAGCCCTATGGTGATTTTTCTGTTGTAAAGAAAGAATGCATAGGCCATGTACAAAAAATGCTCGGAACAAGATTACGTAATTTAAAAAATGAAGTTAAAGATCTTGGTGGCCGAGGTAAATTAACTGGAAAATTGATTGACGACCTGAGTATTTATTACGGACTAGCTATACGTCGAAACGCATATTCTGTGGAGAATATGCGGAAGGAAATCTATGCTGCATTGTACCATAAAATTTCAACCGATGAAAAGCCTCAGCACGACGGATGTCCCGTAGGAGCAGATTCTTGGTGCTCTTGGCAAAAAGCGAAAGCCTCGCATACTCTCGAAATATACACGCATAAACCAGCTGTGCCAATGCAAGTATTCCATGCTGTTCAAAAAATTTATGAAGACCTAACGAGAGAAGATCTTCTTTCCCGTTGCCTCGGAGGATTCACTCAAAAAAATGCCAACGAAAGTTTAAATGCCGTCGTTTGGTCAATAGCGCCGAAAGCGATATCCAGCGGCGAAAGTGTGGTTGACATTGCTACAAACATCGCTGTAATATCATACAATTGTGGTTTTCGAGGACTTTTAGATGTTATGAGCACACTTCAACTGTAGATTAACTCGGAATTATACAATTTTTCCATGGAAGTTGATCAACGTCGAGTTACAGCTGCAAACCGCTCAGCATCGAAAAATCTGAAAGGCGCTCGGGAAGACATTACTTCGCTTAGAAAAGAGGCTGAAGAGAAAAATACATGCTTGGAAGGGCAGTTTTACGGTGCTGGGATAGCAGAGTAAAGGTAAAAAAAATTGGCAAGCCTATATTTTGAATATTTCATATAGTAAATACGTTTTGAAACTTTAAACGCGTTTTTCTCGAAAACACGTTTTTCAAATTTATGTACATCATAGCTCGCTCAATTTTTATTGGATTGACTTGAAATTTTAACTGCAGCTTCTCAGACAGATTATCCATCGAAGTACGTAAGGTTTTTAAGATTGATAAATAATTACATTTGCAATAAACAATTTAAAGTCGATTCTTTGCCCAGAAATTAAAAAACAAGTCAATTTGCGAATTTTCAAAAAGAAATTATAATCCTACGTACTTCCAAGGAAAAACTAATTGTAGATTAGGTAACAGTTAGACAACAATAGAAGGTAACAATTTTTTGCTCTAGGTGGTGTACAGAGACTTCTACAGCGTACGCAGATTTCCTCCTCGAACAACACATATGTTTAAGTTACCTAGTGCCACGACGCCATTTTGTATCTTAAATTTAAATAAAAAATATTTTTGTATAGCTTAATATAATAATGTCTCAAAATTTCATTTTAATCCATTGAGTAGCTTTCGAGAAAAAAATTCCCAAAAAAGGGTTCATTTTTCAGTGCGCCAAGGTAGTATAACCCCTTAAATAAACAAGAAGTTTAATTTAATACAAAATAAAAAATATTCACCATAAAGTTGCTCCGCCGTTGCCCGATGCCTCCTAGACCGCTGCCTCCTCTCAGACTTCTCCATCTCGCACTGGCATAACACGACACTCGCGAAAGAAAAGATGATTACCGAAGAACACACAACACTCACTCCCGGTGTTAATCGACGCGGACGTCACTGACTGCAGCGAGAACGAGAGAAACGATCGCGCGCGGAAATACGACCCGAATCTGGCGAGATGGCGTCGCGCGAAATGACGGGAACGTTCCGGCGGGAAGGACTCGCGGAGATGCGTAAGTAGGGTGACCAACTCTTAAACATTTAATTTCGGGACATCAGTTTCCGAAAATCGGGACAGAACCAAAAAAATCGGGACTTTTATTAGTATATCAGATTACCTTGTAATATGCATATTCATGTCCCTTCTTGTTTATTATTCATATATGATATATCTTGACATATTATTTTTTTAAATAGGTAGGGTAAAGGCGGGCATTATGGCCAGGCGGGTAATATGGCCACAACG